GCCGCTTCGGCAGGGACACCCGCCACCAAACCGCGGCGGGGAGGGCCGGGGGCTGCCAAACGGCCTCCCCGCCGCCGGCCCCGCTCTCCCCTCCGCCGGGGATGGCGGGCGGGAGGGCCGCCATCCCGCCGCCGCCGCCGAGGGCCAAAGGCGCTCCGCCTGAGGTGGCGGCAGCCCCGTTTGCCGGCGTCCGCGACAAAAGAAGGGGTCCCGCACCCGCTCCCTCGGTAGCCCCGGCACCTACTCTTGGCCTGACTGAGGTGCAGCGAGTGGTCGGAGACGGGCACCCGGGCCGCCTCCCCGGGGTAGACCTGTCCTCCCGCGTAGTAATGGCACTGCTCATCCCCCCGCTGCCTCGCCGACCGCGGCTCCTCCGCCTCGCCTCCCAGCCCGACCAGCACCACCAGCAGCACCACCAGCGCCGAGCCCCGAGCCCCGCCGACCGCCTCCATGGCCCGCCGAGCGAGTGCACGTCCCGGCGGAGGGGCGGAGCCGGGCCCGGTCCCTCTCCTCACAGGGGCCGGCGGCCCGCTCGGGCGGGCTCCCCGCGGCGGTTGCTCTGAGGAGAAGCGGGGCCGCGGCCTCACGGTAGGGCCCCAGAGGAAACGGTAAATGGACGTACGGGTCTGTGGGGAGAGAAGAGTGTGTGAGGAGCGCGGCTGCAGAGGGAAACTCTCCGCCCGTGCCTCAGGTTTCCCGCCCGGTCTCTCTCCTACGTGTGGCGGGGTGGTTTCTGTGGGCATTTCATCGCTGGCGGTCGTACCAGTCGGTGCCGAGCGTGGATATGCGTAATGTTAACATCCCTCAGTCGGAAGGCATTCCCAAATAACTGTAAATGAGAGAGAAAACCAGTAAAGTCAATGCAGTAAAACCAGGAGAGAATCAGGCCTCTTGTGAGTGGAGAAAATGCTGAAGGACAAACATGGGCTTTATCTGCAGAATGCAATGTTAGTTAAATAGCACTAATTTGAGGTTTGTACATGATTAAGTATATATAGCCATGGAACAGAGTTCAAAAGAGCAGCAACAAAGACTTTCTGGCTGCTGCTGTACTATCAAGACTTTTGCAAGTGATTAAAAAAGGAAAAATTCGTAAATGAAATCCAAATATATATCACTCTTCAGTGTCCACACGGAGAACACGGGCAGCCTTCTTTCTTTGCTCAGTGATGAAATACTTGAACCGAATGCTGATTTTCGTGTTTAAATTGATGAAATTAGGTGATGCTGTTAATATGCAGTAAGAGAAACACTGTGCTACATTCACCCAGTTGTACAGCTCTTCTGAAGTTGGTAGGGTTTACCACATGCAAAGGGAAAGCTCTTAAATCTTTCCTCCACTGCCTTCAGGCTGTGTTCCTGCATGTCCTGCCATATTCAGGCCCGCAAGGATGGTTCAGTTTTGGCAAAGGTCTGGACTGTGGCAGGGTGTCATTGCCACGGTGGCACTAAAGTCACGGGAGCAGGGAGCGATTTAGGCTACTAAAGCAGTTTAGAAATGGTTATGGAGGTTCTGCCTGTTCTTGCTTGTAATAAAATACCTCACTATCATTTAAACGACCTAATATAAAAATACCTTGGAAAAATTAGCATAGTATATTGTAGCAAGATGCCTGTCGCCATTTCATGGAACAGATGGAGCAGATGTTCAATATTGCGCTGGTGAAACTAGCAGTTGGTTTTATCCTCCTCATGGTTTACAGGGACATTTTAACAAATATATTGCATTGCTTGTCATGTGTGACAGAAAATCTGTAGTGTAGAAAACTTTGCTGGCGAAAGGAGGGTAGAAAACATCAGTTTTGTAAGTGGTGTTAGATCGGAATGACCAAAATTAAAATTACCAGTTAGAGAAGTGTTCTCCTTTTTGGTTCCTGATAAGGCTGGACCGGTGGGATCAGCTGTGTGTGCGATGACTCCCAAGGGTCCTTGAAGAAAAACTGTATCAGGCTGAGAAGGGCTAGATGGTGTCATTTGCTTTGATGGGAACTTCATCCTGACTTCTAACTGCTGCTAATATTGTCAGCTACCTGAAGTGGTATGGCTGAGTAAATCTAAACATAAACTTCTTAAAATCTGCCACTCAGTAGTGTAGAGGGATCACAGATATATTTGTTCCCGTAACCTACCTTTGGGGAATATGCTAGCGTCTGGAGGTGAATTTATGTTTTTCCTCTGCAAACACACCTGCCATAGAAAAGTTCTGCTTCATTTCTTTCCCTTTCCCCTCCAGCCACTGCTTCTTGTGGCATCAGTGTCAGAAACCCTGCGGGGCCTGTGTGATAGGAACAGGACCGAGCATGTTATTAATGTGTTTGACTGAGCGTGGCAAAAAAAGGCAATCAATAACTGCTAGTCGCTGGGCGATGGGGGAGTATGGTTCTTAAAGCACCACCAGTTCCAAGCTGTCTTCTGCCTCTGTAAGTGCTGACAGAATCTACCAGTTTGTGAATATAAACAAATAATGTGAAACCACCTTCTTGACCTAATAAATAATGTAGTCCTTGCGGGGCCCTGTCAGTTTTCTTTTGGCTGTCACCTGGGGGGTCGGTTATGAGTATGTTTACGCTCTATCGCATTTTTTCTTCCTTTAACAAGCACGTATTCAAGGAAAGTGGCCAAAATGTCTCTGAGCATTAGCACAGTTTTTGGACAGTTGTACTGACGATTGAGGAAAGAGAAAGTCAAAGCTGGACACCACCTGTTAGACATATGCTGTCCACTACAAGTCAGTGGACTATGAAGGATAGTTGAGGCATTGCAACAGAAAACCCACGCTGGACGTCTGGACCTGCCCTTGGCAGCGTGCTGCTGACGTGCCCTAAGACCATCACAGCTTGATAGCCAAAATAACCTAGCTAGCTTTGTCTGGTGTTGCTGACCAAGAGGGACCTTCACCCACAGAGCAGTAACCGCACAGTGTCAAGCGTAGCGGTCTCCATTGGTGTCATTTGTGGGGTTCATAGGCTCCTGCCCTCGGGGTCCCACCCTTGGTTCTGCTTTCTTGGGTCTGAACCGAGACTAACGCACTCTGGTCTAAGTCTTGAGCTCAGTCAGCCTTTGTGAAGAGGTGGAGAATTTGTCACCTCACCTCAGATAAAAAGCAAAGGTGCATCCTGCCTTTACAGGTGCCTGCACCGCAGCCTCATGGATGGGAAGAAACCCCTTGGTGACCCAATTTCATACACTCTCAGACCAGAACAGAGACAGATGTTGCTGATGGTTGATGATGACACCTGGGTATGCCTCTTCAGTGGGTAGTCAGTAAAGCTTTGCTCAAGCTTATGGGTGTGCTAGCTGCCTTGCATTTGGGCTAAGCGGAGGAAAATGAAACGTTTAGCTGTTGTGGAAAAAAAGGGACCCTACTGCCTGAAGCATGGGTGATCACAAGATCTGGGGAGGAGAGGAGGCTGCATTCCAATCATACTGGGATAACATGGTCTTAAAAAATTCCCAGCTTCTCTCCTTATGCCTGCCTGCCTGCTCCTCTTCAGTCTTCTCTTGCAAAACTTTTTGTGTTATCTATTTTCTAGCACTGTTTCATATCTAAATTTGCCTTTGTCTTCTATTTGGACTTGTGAAAGAGAAAAATGGCTTTTGACCAGAAATATTCCTGCACCTTGATGTGTTAGTGGCTTTTACATTGCTCACTAGGTGGCAGTAAGATGCTGTTATACCGATTAAAAAAATTGAAGTCATGTATTTTCCAAGCGCCTGAAATTTCCTCAGATCTGAGGATTTGGTATCAGAAGCACTTCTTTTTTAATTTTTTTGTTTGTTTCCTAAAATACAAGGTCCACAGGTGTAGGAAATGCAAAATGAAATCTATATTCAATACTCATAAACAACCCCGGTTCCTGTGAACTTGTTACAACAATAAAGGTAATCAATCTTGCATAATTTTTCAGTAAGAAGTTTTCTCTATTGTGCCTCTGAGAGTGAAGATGCTGGGGATACTAAAGCAGTCTCTTAAAAAGGAGGACGAAATAAGAAAAAACCAATCATAAAGCAGTGAAAGAGGTGGAAATTTGTAACAGAAGATAAGTTTTAACCTGGTCATGAGGGAGTACTGAAATCAATATTGGATTTTTGTTTCTGCTTTCTTTTTTGCTAGCTACACACAGTTTTCTGGGAGTTTAAATAGCGGTCCAGAAAGCTATAATCTCTACTTTAACTAAGCTGAGAGGGAGTGCACAGGCCCTCTTTCTTCTCTGCTGCTTCAGAAATGAAGCAACCTGATCTAGTTGAAGATGTCCCTGCTTATTGCAGGAGGGTTTGGACTTCCTTCTAACCCTTCCTTTCCATGATTCTACAATTCTATGATTAAATCTCCGTGTTCTGTTTAGAATTGCTGTAAATAAATGAAGACTTTACCATTTTTTATGGTAATATCTTCGTCTGTTCCAATTTAGTTTTGCATACATTTCAGAGGTTCAACTAATTCCAGCTTGTCCGCTTGGTCTAATGCAAGGACCTAGAGGTTTCTTTGCAAAGCAAAATTTTTTAGTCATTGGAAGTGACATAGATCTAATATTTGTGTTCCCTGTACCATAGGTATATGTCTTGAATCTCCTTCAGTTAGCTCATATAGTCTAATTTAGCATATAACTTGTGCTGGTAGTAAACTGGACATTAATTTAGGTCAATACTAACATAACCCCTGTTTGAGTCAAAGCTCCTTCTCTGTTTTAGATCGTCAACTTTGTGAGGGGCCTTGGGAAGCCATGCCTCTGTGCAAGAGCCAACATTTGATCTACCACATTTAAACCTGAAATCGAGTGCTGTTGTTTTCCCATAATTGAAGGGAAAAAAGCCCATTGTTTATAGCTAGGAGTTTTATTTGTTATTGTGTGCTTACTTTTTCTTGAGAAAGGCATCATTCTTTGAAGTTTAGAAAATTTGCAAGTTTACAAACTCTTAAGTGAAAGCATAGGGTTTTCAAGGTACTGTATGTATTCAAGACAGTGCACTTACTTACAAGTATACTACCTATGTGCAAAACATTTATATGTTTATACCCTACAATCTCATTCACCATTACAGAATCAAAATATGGAGGAAAATCTTTAGAAACCCGAATTACTATAACTGGTTTCTTCAGTATGGAGTCTGAAGTGATAAAAAAGGGAATGGGTTGGTTCATGCCGTCGGGTAATCTGAAAATAAAATAGCAGTTTTGCACGTGCACTGTTGAGGGCTGCTCCCCGTGTGGTTCGAGGCAGCAAAGCCTGTCCCTGGGCATGGGGACAGGTAGGTACGTCTGAACCAATCTGGAGCTCCAGCCATCTTGTCAAAATTTGTGTCTGCCATTCACTGGGTGGGACATGAATGCTAAAGAATTTCCCCTATTTTTAAAAAGATTTTAAAACTTTTCAAGATTTTGAAGATGGTAAGTTATGCTGAGATAAATAAAATAATGTGTTGACCTGCTGCACAGCTAGCTGTTACATGGAAATATTCCTCAGGCCTAC